GACGGCAAGCGCAAAGCACAGCCTCAACAGTCTGACACATTTTACTTGGCACAAGCAGTGCGAGTGCACGCTTAAGCACTGTATGAAAATGAACTTACAAGCATATCACGATTAGCATACATATTTAACAAGTCCTTGCTGTCAGCGGCACGACATTTTGTTTGTTTTCTCGGCTATATTTATTTGCCTTTTTACTCAGTTCGCCACTTTTGCTATGTAACGAAGTGGGCGCCTAAGTGGATAAGTGCGAGCGCACTTGTGTGTAAGTAATAGTTGCTGGGTGGCTATGGTGGCGCAGCAGACTGTGGACTAAACATGCTAAGCGGAGATGTAAGTGTGAAAAACGTTTGAATAATACTGCTGCTTAAATGGATAGCTTTTTGTAAAGCTATTTGCCACGATTACTGTAGTGATTACTTAGCAGGAAGAGTATTTAAAGAAGAAAAAACGTTAACTTCGTTTGCTACAAAGCTATAATACCCTTCATAGGTGCATAACAAGCGTATAAAGCATAGAAAAATCTTGATCATGATTCTGAACGTTCAGTTTGTATGGCAGCTATATGCTATAGTGATTCGTTCTGAACATTTTCTTCAGAGATTGCATCATTGCCTTAGGCAATAATCCATGCCAAAATTTCTTGAAGATATTTCGTCAAATATAAAAGTTTTCCATACAAGGACTAGAGTTTGTATGACAGCTATATATGTACCATATATGCATAGTTGTCCGATATCGACGGCTCCGACAAATCAGCAGCTTTATGGCGAAAAAAAAACGTGTGCAAATTTTCAGAAACTGAGGGAATAGTTCGTGTTTAGACGGACATGACAAAATCGACTCAGCTCGTCACGCTAATCATTTATACATATATAATATGTACATACCATACCGTGGCAAAATTAATATATCCTGTTCAGGGTATAAAAAATATTAAATATGTAACTAAAAAAATGTAAAACTTAAGTCAAACCGAACTTAACTTAACGTGCAACTTAATTTAGATTAAACTTAACTTGAAGTGAAATTTAAATTAACTTAAAACCTAGCGTAACCTGAAACTTAACTTAACCTAAAACCGAACCTAATTTAACTTGACTTAAAATTTAGCTCAACGTAAAACTTAACGCAACTTAAAACTTAATTTAATATGAAACTTAACGTAACCTAAAACGTAACGTAACTTAAAACTTAATTTAGCGCGAAATTTATCTTAAAGTGAAACTTAACGTTACTCAAAACCTTACCTAATCAGAAACTTTACGTAACTTAAAACTTAATTTAACATGAAACTTAACGTAACTTAAAACTTAATTTAGCGAGAAACTTAACTTAAAGTGAAACTCAACTTGACTTAACACGTAACCGTTAGGCTTCACGTTAGAATTTTAAAATTTAAGACCACTTTTGACTTGAAAACATATGTATATTTTAATTTCCCAACTTTATACAGCGAAAAAGCGCATAGCCGTTAACTTATTTGTAGCTCTTTAATTGTTTCAACATCAATTTGTCTTATCAGCTCACATTTATTTTACACGAAAACAAAATTAAATCAGCGCAACCCCACATAAGTCACTCTGCGTAAACAGCGCTGTCAAATATTTCGTACATTTGTATATAAAAACCACACGTTGCACACAAATTGGCGGTGTACACGTAGAGGTATAAATAGAATGTTTGCTGTTCTCGAACCACATAATTTACGCGGTTTTTATTTGAGCACATTGCTTTGGATTTTTTCTCGTTCGCTGCGCATTATGATTATTATTATTATTATTGCACGCATTTATTTGGAGTAGCTTCTGGTCATTGTTGTGCTACTTGCTTGTGTGCGCTTTTCTATCTCCTTTAACTGAGAGATGCCACCAGCCGCAGCACCATTATTATTATTGCTTACATCCCTTTATGGCGCGTATGCCTTTTTTCGTTAGGCTTCAGTGCAGCTATGCGCGCTGTTTTGTTGGAATTTGTATTGTTGTGTTCTCATTTTTATCATAAAAATGTTTCATGTTTCCAATTGTTGTTTTAATTATTATTATTTTTTTAAAGCAGCAATAACAAAACAACTGAAGTGCTACACTTGGGATTAAGTGGCGTTGTATTCGTTAATGTTATTTTTTTCAGCGGCTAAAAATAGAAGGCACAAAAGAGCCTTATTGCTTACTCGTATAAATATGAAACCAGCATTTTTTTCTAACTTACTTTCTTTGAAGAAAATTAAAAAAACAAACCACTTGTGTGTTGAAAAAATTGCGTGAAAAGCTTGCGCACAAGAGATAAGAAAGTGACGCCAACCAATTATTTGAGAAAAGAAATATGAGAGAAAAATGTATGATAATAGTAATTAATTAACCATAGCGAGTAAGGCAAAAGGCTGTTTAAAACTTAGTAAAACACTTTTTGTTGTTATTTTATCGTGCGAATTATGAAACAAACATGCAAGCCAACTATCGGTTGAATTACTACTTAATTACTACAATTAGTTGAACTTTCTAAGAGTTTCTTAATGCCAAATTACCAAATATAAAATTTAAAAACATTTAAATTATTAGCGCTCAGCTGAGTTCAGCGCTATCGAAAGTCGATAACTAACAAGATCGTTTAAAGTCGGTGCACACTATACAAACACAACAATCTTTTAAAAATCACACATAAGCACCATCGTGTTGATAATATTTTGACATGTTTATATAATTCTAACAACTATAAAACAAAAACGGAAATTGAAGCCAATTTGTCTGCCAAAGGACTATGCGCAAACAATAAAAAAGTTAAACAATTCTGCACTAAGTCATATAAACCAGTTGGATGATTAAGAAGTTTGCAGCAAAAATAGTTGTGCTAAACTAAAAAGCGTCTAACTTTACACATGCAGTTGTTAAATATTTATTATATCATATTTTCGGTGTGCTCCCCGCTAGCTTTGTAAGTTTTATGTGCGGAAGCCAATAAAGTACGTGAGAAAGTGTAGAAAACTACTACGTAAATCAAACATCATGAATGAGTGGATAACTGCTGAAAATGTGTAGACACAACTATCAAAGATATGCTGACAAGTATGTGTACGACCCACATAGGGAGGAATTTTGGTTTTATGAGTTTTCAACACATAAATAGCAGCTATTACACTTGCTACTACCAAACAGTCTAGTTACATTTAATTAAATTTGTTAGTGGGCTTAAATGTGCTGGCGAGAAAGAGATATTAGACGTTATGCTCGAGCTAAACACAATATACTAATATATATAATACATACATACATGTTTTGAAAATATGGCAAATGTCAAATTTAATTTGACAATTTTTCATTTTAATTTGACATTATGAAATTTTTTTGATATTTGTGAAATTTGTTTTTTTTTGACATTTGTAACATTTTATTTGACAATTGTGTAATTTCTTTAACGTTTGTGACATTACCCAATTATACAGTCTGAATATACCCTTTAAACTAGAAACACTAAGCTTCACAAGAATGAGCAATATTTAGAGAAAAATGCCATCTTTTGAAATCTCGAGTATATGTAGAAGTTTCAAACTCTCGAAGTGTTCAAAGAGAACAGAAATTACACAAATGCAGTTGTTATCGATTATTAGCGACTTCACACAGTCCAAAGCCATTAATTTCTTTAAATAATGCATCCAAATAGTTTAAAATAGAGTTAAAAAATGTTTCACCATCCTGTACAAATCTGTTTAAAGAATTGTCACACTTTACTACCCAATATTCTTCCATTTAACAAAAGATCAGAGTAATGTATGTGTGATATCAACGCCGTATCCAAACAAATCCAAAAGTCTGCATTTCGTAATATCAAGAGAGCACAGCAATGCCATCAACACTGTCATTATTTTGTTGGACGTGCACACCATTTTTATTGCAGCCCACACAAGCTTACACAAACTCACCACAACCAATCAGTTAGCTACATAACTTCCGCTGCATCGTTCCTTTTTCTGTTTTTTGTTTTGTTTTTTTTTTTTTTTTTGTGCTTCTCCGTATGCATAGTTGCATTTATGACATTATTCACTATAAACTTTGCTCATCGTCGACGTTGATTTTATCTTGCGAAAAACAATAAAATACTCATATCTTTGCACCCTTACCCTTAACCTCACTATATAGTACGAGTATATATGCCTGTCTGACACGCTTCAACTTTTCTGTGGCATATTTTTTTACATTTTTTCTAAACTTCAAACACTTGCGCATCTGTGCGTGGATGTGAGTTGTTGCTGTTGGAACAATTTGCATGGCAATTGAGTTTGCAACTGCTACTTAAAAACTTAAAACGAAGAAAAAACCATGACTGTCTAATGTGTTGGAAAGTGTGTGTAAAAGGCAGAAGTTTGAGTAGCGGAAAATCATCTTATGCATAACTACAAAATTAAATTCAGATTTTTATTTTATGATATTGAGCTTAGTAAAGTGAGTTGTTTTCTTATCGGATTTCAATACTTATGGAATTTATTATTACAGGCAGTCGGTTGCAATATTACACGACAGCATGAAGCATTTGAGGTTCAAGAGTCAATATAAGCACATGACAAGAGAGGATTAAAATAAGTATATTGAACGAAAAATATAAGCTGAAGTAATATTGATGCAATTTATATACAAAAGTTGCATTAAATTACAATGAAAAGTGTAACCAGTAAAGCTATCGATTATTTAACTTCTGTCTTGAAATATTTCTCTCAGACTTCGGGTGATAAAGCGCTTGATAAGCACAATGAATTTTTATTTAGGCTAGCCAATTGCTCTAATTTAGCTGTGATATTTCCAAATAATTATACTTTTTTGTTTGAATTTTTAATTGGAGTTACTTAATTAATATTTTGATAATTCAAATGAAGCGCAAAACTTAAGCTCATCCTACCTAATTAGCCGCAAAAATCATTACATGACGTGACAGTTGAATTATTCAATTTACAGCACGCATTTTAGCATAATCGAAGCGCCCTATTATGCTTAATTATAAATTCTCTTTCGCAGTCCGCTAAGTCCCGCAACACAAATAACTACACACACTCGCAAACACATAAACTCAATTAAAAAAGCAAATGTCAACAGCAGCTGCAGCGTAAACGAAAATTGACATGTGAATGACCTGCTAGTACAGTTATTCGTGCAAGTGTGCAGCAACGCGTTGTGCAAATGACGAAGCGGTGTCTGCTATGTACATACATGCTGGTAATTAGTGCAATCAGTTAAATGACATTTTCACCATTGTAAATGCACGCCAATTGATGCTGTCAATTAGGAGCGCGAGTGAACGCAGGCAACTACGAAAACTACCGCAAAACAAAATAGCGCGTCTGTGTGCGGGTGGCAGCAAAGGACGTTGGAGTCGACGTTAGAACGGGGACATGCTGCGAAATTGCATTTAATATACAAACAAAGACAACACAAGACAGCGTGTTGTTGCAATTTTTTTTGACATTTTGATATTCTGCACCAACGCCGAAATTCACTTAACACCGCCAAGTTGGAAGGAAAAAAACTATTCACGGCTGTTAATAATATATTAGCCGGTTCGAGTTTTGCCCGCGAACTCAGGCAACTAATGGTGAGTGAGCTGCGCAGCTATGTCAGAAGTATTTAAACTAAAACACGGTGTTTTTTTATTATTATTATTTCCTTCAGACGAGAAAAACAACACCCGTCGCGGATGATACGGCTGCTGGCGGCGACAGCGCGGATTCACAGCAGCTTGAAGAGGCTGCGTACTACGAGCCACCAGTTAGCTACAGTTCCGACAAAACAGCAACAACACCGCCAACACAACAACAATGTGAGCAGCAAGCAAACAGCATGGCTGCCGTGGACGCGGATGCAGCGTGCACCGAAGGAGCGGTCTCGCTGCGCCAACGACGTGTCTCCGAGTTGGTGCTGGACACATACAGCGGTTGTTCAGCGGCAGCAGCGCCAGATTATGACAATGCGGCCGTGTATGTGGATGAGTATGATGAAGACGATTTCGAAGATGGTGTTGATGGCGAAAACGATTATTATGACGAATCGCCAGTGCAGCGCAGCGCTAGATTTTTACAGCCACGTAAACAGCAAAGAAAAATCGAATTGCAAGAGCAGGCGACGACAAGCACGGGGAAAGGTGGCGCTAAACGGTCAAAGCGACGCATTAAGACGGCACGTCAATTTTCACAACGCACCACTTCGACTGAGTCGACGGAGAGCGGCATGCGTCCATGCATATCGAAGGGTCAAATGCGCGGTGAGTTGCAGCGCAAACACGATTACTAGTATGATCGGTAGTTGCGTGATAAATAGTGTTATTAGCTGTGTTTTAGCAACACCTAATCTGTGTGAGCTAGCTAAGCTGTCTGTGTTTTTCATTTTGTACGTGTCGATTGTCACGGACTGTCCAATTTATGCTGATGCCACACCAATATTGCTTTGGTTTTTATTACTATTTCTATTTATTTTTTGTGTGTGTTATTTGTTGTTTTTCTAGAATTTCGTGAAGCATTTCGCTTATTCGACAAGGATGGCGATGGCTGCATAACGAAGGAGGAGTTGGGCACCGTAATGCGTTCATTGGGTCAATTCGCGCGTGTCGAGGAATTGCAGGAAATGCTACAGGAAATCGATGTGGACGGTGAGTGGGCGGGATGGTTAAAACGTGCAAAATAGAAAAGTACAATAACAGTTGGAGGTTAGGTCACATTGCAGCAAAAGCAATGACAGCGTTGATATTATATTTAAAAGCACTTTGTTATTGCTTGCTTTAAGGTGTTTATTTGTTTTTGTTTTTTTTTGTATCGCTGCAGGTGATGGCAATGTTAGTTTTGAAGAATTTGTGGATATACTCTCCAACATGACATATGAAGACAAATCGGGGCTTTCCTCTGCCGATCAGGAAGAACGTGAGCTGCGCGACGCATTTCGCGTGTTCGACAAGCATAATCGTGGCTACATAACGGCCTCAGACCTGAGAGCGGTGCTGCAGTGCTTGGGCGAGGATTTGGATGAAGAAGACAGTAAGTCTATACATATGTGCAAAATATTTAATATTAATACAAATAACGACATATTTATAAGAAGAGAGTGTTATTGAAAGCTTTTATTTCTTTCTTTGAATGGTTGTTGGTAAGCTGTCAGTATGTGTGTGAAATGATTGACTGACAAAGTGGTAAAGAATTTCATAACTTCACTGTTAGCTTGTTAACCTCACTTCCACCTTGGGGTTGCCATAAACACCTTGTAAAAAATAAATCTTAAACTTCAATTTGGTTTTTGTTTTTTTGCCATCTCTTGTCATCTAACAACAGTTGAAGACATGATAAAAGAAGTAGATGTCGACGGCGATGGACGCATTGATTTTTATGAGTTCGTGCATGCGTTAGGTGAACCAGAAGACTCACAAGAAAATGATGACGAGAATGAGGAGGAAACTACTACTTCACCATTACCAACACCAAAATCCGCTGTGTCGATGACTTATGATTAAGCTATGCAGAATTTGGGACAAAACTGCTTAAAGAAAACTTCACTAAAAGAAAACTCATAAGGATAATAAGCAACAAAACAAAAAATAATAATTAAAAAATAATACTAAAAAACATATAAAAAAATTAAATTTAACTAAAAAAAATTTTGGCTTCTAACAAATTTGTATTTTTATTGAAAAAGGTGCAAAATAATAATAAAAATTTTTAATACATATATCAATTTAATTATGCCTAACTAAAATTAAATAATCAAAATACTTAAAAATCAAAATTATAGTTTTATCATTATGCAACAAGTAAACAAAACATTAAAAAATTAAAACAAAAAGCTATGGTATGCCACATTTTAAATTATCCAAGTCAATATTTTAAGCAAAAAGTTTCTAACAAAGCTGGACAAAATCAAAATGTTGCACATTTGGTTATGTAAAAAGAAAATACTTGATAAACAGTGTAAACTCTTTAAGTAAATTGTTATTAATAACGAAATTTTTTAACTTAAAATTTAAAAAAGGTTGCTAAATTCTTAAAAAACGAATTCTAACATGACTCCAATGTAAACATATCCATATATTATATGTATTTAGCAAATAATTACTTAATTACAAAAATAAATTATTTACGTTAGTTAAAATTGCCAAAAAAAAATAAATATTATGTCTCAAAATCACATGATATCACGCCTATCTAAAGTGGTGTTGGAATTTTTGACGCCTTTATAGCTTTAAAATTTAATTTATTTTGGTTATTCAACACATATGCATTTCTAACCGAATAGAAAGAACAAAAAAAAAACATTATATTAATAATAAAAAAAAATTATAATAATAATAAAAATAAAAAATTTAAAGAAAAAAAAAAATTGGCAACAAAAAATAATAAGCATATATAGCAAATCTTTCTTTCAGCAAAATTTTGCAACAATTAACATTAGTTATAACAAATAAGCGAGTATTAACAAACTAGCTAACGGAAAAAAATTAACTTAATCAAAAACATTTACTTTAAATAATTCAATAAAAACTTCGAATCTTATGCAAAACAAAAAAGCAAAAGTTTGTTTTAATTCAAAAGAAACTGTATACTCGATCAACAAATTATCGGCAAGTGACAGCGCAGGCACAGCGCTCAGCTAATAGTTAAGGAATTTTATTGCATTGAATTGAGTAATGTGACAGACGGTGGTTAAATGCTTAAGAGTTGCTAAATAAAATAAAATGTAGTAAAAAGAAAAACAAATGCAAGGAAAACAAGAGCCAAAAGCGCATGTTTAACGCAATAAAACTAACACCGACTATTAACGATTAATTGACTAAGCGACTCTAGCTGCTTTATATCACATAAATGAATTTTAGTGCAAGTATATTTCATTTTAGCATAAATAGTATGGAGTAATAAAAAACAGCGAGGGACTTATAAGCATGTGAAAAAGCACATGGCTTTTGTTGAAAATAGTAGCAGTAGAAGGATCTTTAATAACGATAACGAATAGCTTACATGGCGTTTACACTGTTATGAACAATTAATTATATGGTGATGTCTTCCACTGTGTATGGAGCCGAGGACATTGCAAGTTAATGATTTGTATTTTAAAGGAAAAAAAATACATACAGAAGAAGCATAAAGAATCTTCACGAAGTAGAATAAGCAAAGAATAAGAAACTGATTCTCGGAATATATAGGTATAAAAAATATGAATATGAGGATGTGGAAAAAAAAATTCTTCCTAGATAAACATTGCTTAACGTGTCCTGAGACTTTATCTACGAGCGCTTTTACTAACAAATTGCAAAATGATAGAAATCCAACTCAAGGCAAGTTCTTTGTAAATGGAGCTAAAAATCAGCAATACATTTCCAGTGACAGCTCACAGTTATTGATTTTTTTTCTAACTTCCTAAATTAAATTCTTTAAGACAAACATATTTACAGCTGAGTTTTTATATATTTTGCGTACACGAACGCTATAACACGATTACAAAAAGGTCAAAAAACGTAATAATTGGCATACGATACATAAAATTACTTTTTCAAACCTAAATAAAGAAAAGAATGACAGTGATAGAAACTCAAAGGTTAGAATAATCGAATACTAATAACTTGTAACAAAAATAATCGCCATATCCTGACTTTATGGCTTCGCACTAAACTCAAAGGTTGAAATAATGTAACTTTTCGACAATATTTGACATAACCTGACTTTAAGGCTTCCCATTTACTGGCTGTTGTGCTTTCACGCACATTGGCCTTCGGAAACCCAAAATATGTAATTTAACAATTCACGCTGCAAAACTATTTGAGTCGAACAAATAAGCCAACAATAATGAGCAACAAACGGTACAAACACACGCGCCGACACTTTCGAACACACAGCATACACATACGCACGACTTTTATTGCTACTGTCGATGATTGAGCTGAAAAGGGCAAAACTAAATAACTACGTAATGGACCCTCATCTAGTAAAACATATTAATGCCAAAAGCCTTAACGTGCGCTTTCAAGCAAACAATTTTATTTACTATATTTACAGCAGAACATATTGCCGCACAAAAAGGTCAAAATATCGAAAGATTAAATGCAACAAATTGCTTTGCAACCGAAAAAAGATTTTTACTTTCCTGCAGAGAGCGATTTGTTAGTGCGACACCAATCACTACTAACCATTGTGTTTGATTGTGATTTTATGTAGAGCAAGTCAACAAATGTATCAACCAGAGTGTGTGTTGTGCAATTTCTATTGTGTGCATGTGTATGGGTGTTTTGGCTAAATAGTTGTGCAAACAAATAACATGCGAATATGCATTTATTTATACAGTTGTAGAAGAGCGAATGCTGCAACTGGGAGGATCATTGTTTGCTTTAGTAAAAATATTTGTACGTCAGAGTGGCCAAAACGACTTAAAATACTAAAAAAAAAGCAAAAACTTTTTACGAGAAAAAAATATCGTAAGAGACTTGAAATAAGTAATGCAGTGAATACTTGCTTAAAAACAAGAAAAAACGTTAATTTCGCTTGCGCTTTAGCTATAATATCCTACACAGTTGCATTCCTTATAGCTTTAAAGGGTATAAAAAGGTCTTTATCTTGGTTTTGATCGGTCAATTTGTATGGCGCTTTTATGCTATAGTGGTTCAATATGAAGTAACTCTTTAGATATTGTAGCGCTGCCCTAGGCAATAATTTGCGGCAACTTTGTAGAAGATATCTTGTCAAATATAAAGGTTTTCCCTATAAGAGCTTGATTTTGATCTGTCGGATCTGGTGCGATTATCGGCGGTTTCGACAAATTAGCAGCTTATTGGGAAGGAAAGGACGTGCGATTCATATCTCAAAATCTGACGAACTAGTACATGTATATACAGACAGGCGACTCAATCGACTCAGTTCGCCTCCCTGATCATTAACATAATGTATATATATATATATATAATTTTCTTTAAAAAATTCTGAAAACTGCAATTAAAACCTTGGCTTCGCTGAATTGCCAATGTGCTGACACACAGTATATTATATTTTGTTTTCTTTGTCTTCTTACTGTCAGCTCAATAGTGCTGTCAGCCACTCTAGCATCTTCTGCTGACAACTATTTATTTTCTTTACTGACCTCTGCGGGTTATGTTGGCCACGTTGGCCACACACACGTATTAAGGTTAGCACAATAAATTGAAACACGTAGAGATACACGTATGGAGGGTAAACACGTGCCAGTTGCGTTAAAATTTCCCACGCAGCGTATTGGCGAGATTAGAGTGCAAGCGGAATGGACGATTTAATATGCGGCTAAAGTTCAAGTGAGCGCAAAATGTTTGGGTTGCTGCACGGCAAAGGAGCAGCTAGTAAAGCATAGCGATAAGTCAAATGAATATTTACAAGTACTACATTTAGGATAGAGAGGAAATGTTGTTGTTTAATCAAATATGTATATAAATACGCGTGTAACTGTATCTATTTCTGGTTTTAGCATCTTTTTATGCAAATTTCTAAAAGCCAACGCTGAAGTCACAGTTTAAACGTTATGTTAGTGTTATCGATATTTTCGATAGTATTTGAAAGTAAATGGCGAGTTTAAAATTTATTTTATGCAAATAGGTGAAATAAATACAATTTGTTGCCTTTATCTTAGTTTATTTTTGGAATTTTTCTTTTTTGCTTCGACGATTTTAAGCCAAAACCTAACAAAGACATCAATGTAAACCTAAACGAAAGGCAGGTTGGCACAAGGATTAATAGGACATAAATGTATGTGACTAAAGCGTTTCTCCTAACAACCTTAAATTCATATTGAGATTGTAATAATTTTTAGGTAGCTAAAATTATACCAAAGATAGTAAAAACGACTGAGAATCAGCTGGCAATTACTGCTATTTACAGACGTAGCAAAGACATAAAGGTTTTGCCTTCGAGTTTTTGAGTCTAAGCGCCTATAAGAAATCACCCTAGACAATTTCCACAACAGCCGGATTCTATGTCATCGGAATTGACCCGAATTTTAACCGGTCAACAGCAGTTATTTCTCACCATGTTAAAAAACATATCCACGTTCCCACAACAGTCGGATCTATGTAACGGAAACGGACCGAGATTTTTATCCGACCAAGATTTGTCAACTCGGCAGCATTCCTTCAAATTATAGAAATGTTTTCTGCCGCTACAAGAAAGAAACTTCGAATGCTCCAAAGCTTCTCAAAAGATAGCTGAACAAAGGTGTCAAGACAAAATGTAAAAAGGTAGAGGGGCTGGCTACGTTAGGAGTCTCTCTACACGAATCCGAGACAGAGTAAATACCATGCTCGCTACGAATGATTTACGAGCTTTATGCACAAACATCTTAGAATGGATGGAGCATTCTCTAGACACTAAATAAATTAGCGATATTTTGCCTAAAACCGGCTATAGGTGGGCTTCTTTGCCCAGCAAACAGAGTATGACACTCCCTTCGCCGACTATATTGGAAATACCGTTCTTCCGTACCTTTCAAAGACGCCAAGTTGCTCGTAAGAAACATCTGCTTTCATCTTCTTTGTGTTTTGCGAGCTTTTGTAGCTTATAACCTCAACAATAGACATTCTCAGCTGACACGC